TTCTGATCTGAAGTATTCATATTAAACTTTATGTTTAGACTTTTCCCCTAATTTGTCTACTTGGGATTCCTGAGTTCTTATAGTTATAGGAACACAATTCATTTAAAATTTTAGCCAGATTAATTGCCATTGCATATTAGACTGTTGAAGAGGAAAAAGTTACGTCTGGCACAAAGTACAATCTCAATCAAAGTAGATGAATGTTGAGGATATATACTCTTCAGTTTCCCTGGGAAATGTTTCCTGCCAGCATCTTTCCCCAGAGATGGACCTCTGAGGGTGGGCTCCAGCAGGTATAGGGCAACTGGCAGTGTCTGTGTATGGGGTCAAAATATAATATTTTGAGATTCATTTTTAGAGACCTCAGATTAAATTAATTTGTAATCACTCCTGGTATTTAATAATTCTGTAACTGGGAAGCAGAATCTTAGAAGTGGTACAGTGTAGAACTTTTAAGAAGGATTTGAAATTAGGACTTGTGAAGAAAATTTAATGGAACTGGGTTGAGTTTAGCGTAAAGGAGAGAACATTGCTGAGTAACCTAATACTTTGAAAACATATTCATTATGTAATGAGCCTAAGATGAAATTAAACCAGACAGTATCATGACGGAGCTCAGTTATCCATAGTGTATATTTGTCATGGGTCATTATAATTTTATATTACTGGGCTGTTGAGGTAGTACAGTGTTGAAGCAAGTACACTGAATTTGGGGTCAGGAGAACTGAATGCTAGGTATTTTCTAGCTCTATCACCTAATAGCCGTATGACTCTTGAGAAGTCATTTAATGCTCTAAAACTCAGTTTTTTCAATTCTAAAATGGGAGAGAGGCAGGAATTGTTCTACTTACTTCATGGTGCTGTTTGGAAGGTTAAAGGAGATAATGGCTATTAAAACTCTTTATTATCTATAAAGTTCTAGCCACAGGCACAGCAGGCCCCAGTGTTATATAAGTGTTCTTATAAAATGCAGACAGAATTGAGATTGTGGGCACTCCTTCCCCAGAGGTCTTTAAACACAGAGCATCTCCTAGTCCAGATGTCATAGCCACAGACTTTCTGAAGGCAGGGGAATGAACCAGAACACCTTGAAATGTCATTCCACTCCAGGACTCTCAGCATCTGCTAATTCCCTCAAGCCAGTGTGTCAGAATAGAGCAGCCAATGTGATAGAAGTTGTTTTCTTCTTTTCTAATTTTTGGATAGTTTTCCATTCAAGTGGAATTGAACAAGACACATAGGGAAGAACACTGGGATCTAACCAAACACCTGCTCTGGGTTGGATTTTCTCTCCATAAAGTGAGTCCTCCTGTTTTTTGCTGTAAGTTGACTTGTTTGGCCTGACTTCATGTGGCTTCCTGTTGAAAGACATTGGACATATTTATGTCTGGGGTAGAACTGATTCCCTAGAGGACAATATTTATTGATCTGTGAACTTATGAAGCACTGGACAGATTCTCTCCTTTGTAGATGGTAGAGATGCTCCCAAAGGTGCCCTTTGACTTATCCAGAAGGGGAACTATTATTGTCTTGGGTGTGAATGGCCAGTCTTCCTCACAGAGAGGTGAGAAACCAGGGAACATGACAGGGAGGGACTGGCAGCTGGATATTTTTTTGGAGAAAACCTAGCCCGATATTACCACCACTCCCTCCTGTAGCATAGTCTCTTTGTGTGGCCTTTTAATGGCTTAAAGAAGCTACTTTGCTGGTGAGCACAGAGACAACCAGCTCCACAAGTGAAATGGGAGTGTGGCGAAAGGGGAGTGAAGAGAATAACAGATTAGAATTTGATGGGAAGCGGTAATCTTTTACCTCAGCCTCCCACCGAGTGAGGAATCTCAGAGCACCTCTGAGGTGGCCATGGCTTCTCAGTCTCTGACTAATAAGCTACCTCCTGAGAAAGCCTACCCTGGCCTTGGTCGGACCAGGCAAGCCATGGGAAAATGAGCTCATTTTGTGGTGAAATCTTTCTCTTTTAAATTTTACTCCATGGTTTTCTGTCATTTCAGAGGATTCTAGTCCAAATCTGTTTCTTTCAGTTAGCAGTCCTTTCATTATTTGAAGTAAGTCCTCATGATTTACCTTAATTTTCTTCTCTGAATTAAGTCTGCCATATCCTCCAGCCATTCTTGAAGAACATATATTTCAGATACAGTATACCTTTCTCTTGTACACACTGAAGTTTTGTAAAAGTTTCCCTTTTCCTATCCTAGAGGTTATAGAGCCCCCACCTTTTATCTGGTTCCTAGAATGAGAACTATCTCATTTTAAGAGTTGAGACCCATCTCATATGGAGGAGAATCTGATAATTTGTTCATGCACTGAGATGAGAAACAGGAACCTTCATTGTTGTCCTGGATGCTGGGATTATGCCTGATCAATGGTCCCAAAGGGGCTTCCTGTGCAATAACACCTGGCATACCTGAGCCCTGAGTTCACATGGAGATACCCTTTCAGAGATTTCAAATATTTCCAGTCCTGAATGGCAATTTTAAGAGAAGGCAAATTACCACATGTTCTCTACTAATCAAAAAAGTTTGCCAATGTCTCTCTCCTCCTGAAATCCGAGGAGGGAACACCAGAACGCCTGGCTGGTGGCTTGAATGGTGCACTGACTTGCTCTGTATCTTCTTCTGGGTTCCTCCAGACAAGCAATTGCAGGATCCCTGGCTCCCAGAGTTAATATGGCTTCAGGCCACAGCTAGGAATTAGACACAGAACACAGAACCTGGCCCCAGAGGCTTATAAATGAGAGAAGGAGACACCAAAGGCTAAAATCACTTCCTAGCATTTTCTTTCATCCTTTCCTGTGGATTCTGCTGCACCAAAACCACGTCCTTCCTGTGAGACCCCCATCCCAGAACCGCTGAGGGCTCTTGCTCTTAGTAGTTACTAAGCAGAGTGTGGGATGCAGCACTGAACCTGTACATGGCAGTCCCTGTCTGATAGCTGACAGTCCAAGATGGCACAGCACAAGTCAGAGCCACCAAGCTCTAGAATGGGAGAGGTGGTAAATCAGCAGTAGTTTACAGGAGAGAAACAGGGTTAGAGATGTGAGTGGAGGGCCCACAATTCCACAGAAGAGCAGTTGCAGGGTTACATTCAGAAGCCAGGTCTGTTGACTTCCAACCCAAAACTCTCTTTAATATCATAGATGTAAAATTATATGTGGCATCTGTATTTACATTCATATGTATATATATGCATGGGTGTGTAAAATTTTCTTTGTAGGAGGCTTCATTTCACTCATATGTTCTAATTTGATTCTCACAATAACCCTTCTGACAGTAAGGGAGCTGAGGCTTGATCACACATGCAAATGGTAGCAACTGGATTCACATCCAGGCCTGGTTCCAGCTCCCTCTTCTTCCAATTGCTTGGCATTGTTATTTGATCTCAGTGGGTATTACCAAGTCCTCTTCAGGACCCCTGTGGAACGACTAGGCATTAAGTCAATTCCTTCCATGGGGTACACACGGTCTTCCTGACACTGGGCAGGCTCAGCTCCTAATCTCTTTGGTTCTAGAGGACCCTGAACTGTCACATTCGCTGCTAAAGAGTCAGTGACAGTGACTGCCACATGACTTTTAGGTCATTACTGAATGGCAGTGGGAGACTTGAACAAATGCAGGGTCCTCAGAAAGTCAGACCAAGGGTGAGAATTTTAGAGCTGCAAGGGAGCTTACCAAATATATAACATCCCTTGAATTTTGTAGATAAAGAAATTGAGGCTTACGGATTTGGATTAAAGGATTTGCCCAAGTCATAATTATTTAGTAAACCAGAACCAAGTGTCCTGCTGAGGATGAAGACTGGGAATTCTTCACACTAGTCTTGAACTGCTGGAAAGTTGAGAGAGAGGGGATAAAACAGTCAAGAGAGTTCCTCTGATACAGGTATGATTGAGAGGGGGGAAAAAAAAGAAGAAGCAATGTGCATGTAGCCAGAAAACAGAGCCAGAATGTGAACTAAGACTGAAAATACAGATCTAGGGTGGGCTAAAAAACTCAGTAAGTGACTTCCCAGATTGTGTTTTGTTCCCATTGCACATACAGTTGGAAGCCAAATGCAAGCCACCAAGGTTGCAGTGCAACAGCGAACAATTAAAGCGCAAATAGTTGTGGGCAGCTGTGGGAGTGCAAGCCACCTGCTCTAAGTTTACAGCTTTGTTTAACTTGGTAAGCATTAAAAATGGAGTGGGAACACTCCCAGTACCACATCCCATGCCCTTTCTGGGAGGCCTTACTTGGGGAGCTGGGGTGGCTTTACCCTTGACTAGGCCCTTCTCACTGTGGCCTAGAGCTGCTTTCTATTGATAGTGGTCACTGTTGTCAATAGCCCCTAACAGAAACTGAGGGAGGTAGGGAGTATCACAGAATTATATATTTATAGAGTTTGAAGGGTCCACAAAGCCCCCAGATATACCTTCTCTCCTGTTATTCAGATAAGAAAATTGAGATCCAGAGAGGTGATGTACCCAAAGTTACAAAGTTAGGGTCAGAACTGACTTTTAATGTCTGAACTTCTGATCCTTTGTTCAGTGCTCCTTCCTCTAAGCCCCACAAGGTTTATAAATAATGCCAAATAGGGAGTTATAGCATTAGAGAATGTTATGACTGGAAGGGACACTGTTCTCAATTCCCAGTGTTTTAGGTTGTCACATGACTAGGGGGTACTATTGGGGGGTACATAGGGCCCAAGGATGCTAAATAGCTTGAAATGTGGTCATCCTGCATAACGAAGAATCCCAGATACCAAGAGTCACCTTGTTGAGAAATATTTTGTCCATCATTTTACATTATAGTTGAGTGATCCAAGCCTAGAGACAGGAGATGCTTGACTAGGGTCCCAAAGGAGTCAGTATTCCCCTGACTCCATCCTACTGAGCCCCTGAGTTAATTAGCAGCACCCTTGGTACCTTCAGCAAAGGGGAGACTCGATCCTTCCCCACCCAGCTCCTGTTTCCCTTGCACCTAAGCTATTTCCAGGCCAGCACTTACTTGGACTTCAGGCCCTCCTGTCCATAGGGCTGCAGCAGATACTGGTGCACAAGCTTGTCCCTGAGAGTCCCAGCCAGTTTTATTTTCTTTCTTGATCTGTGCAGGTTGATGATAAAAAGTGTAATGGACCCTCGAACATAGTTGTGGCTGAGATTCAGAGAGAGAGAGAGAGAGAGAGAGAGAGAGAGAGAGAGAGAGAGAGAAGATGGAAACAGTGGTCAGTTAAATGCTTCTAAATAATTTACAGACTGCATGAAACAGGACAGCCCTAGGAAAGGGCACTTTATTTTATGGTTTTCGGCCACCCTAGGCCTTTAAAGACAGGAAGGGCTTATTATTGTGATTTTCTGCAAAGAAGATGCTCACATCTCACCACACTCCATTTGTTTTTGTTTAAATGCATTGCAATGATTTGAAAAAACAAAATATCTTTTTCTGAGTATGGAAGCAAAACATGCTAATTGCAATAAATAAATAAATAGGTAGATAAATAAATAAATAAATAATTAAATAAATAGAAAAAAATACAAAAAAGAAAAAAGAAAATTCCCATAATCCAAGTATTTTGGAATATAATAACATTTTGGTAAACATCCTTCCAGTAGTTTTTAGTTTATTAATTTAACAAATATTTACTGAGTATGTGGCACATGCATACATATTTCTCAGTTTTTCCATAACTGGGATCACATTGTTCACACAGTTTTTCCAGTTCATGAGCATTGTAAACATGTTCCCATCTTATTATGTGGTATATTCTGCTTATAAAAGAATGCTAAATTCTTCAATCATAGAAATGCAACATAATTTAGTTACCTAATGTCCTACTTTGGGGCATGTGGGTTGTTTTCAGTTGTTTGCCATTATAAATTATGTGATGAAGCACTTTGCACATAAACCTTTCTCACATCATGATTATTTCTGATGGATGAAGTCTTCAAAGTTGGAAACATTAGGTCAAGGGGAATGCACATTGTATGATTCCTCACCAACTCTTCATTCCCAGTGGTGGCCCTCCCTGTGGAACATTTTCTGTCCCTGCTCTATTGAACCATAGAGTGCTCACGTTATTGGCTTTTCTCAGTGAAATGTGGGTGGATAAGGCCTCTGGGCAGAAGCTTTAAGAGCCAACCCATGTTTTGCCATGCCCCTTTTCTCCCTGCCAGAAGACCAGCAATGTTCTTGGCAAGAGGGGCCCTATTGACCTGCATCCTGGAGTGAAGATGATGTGGAGCAGAGCTGCAGCTGAGCCGTGACAGACACACAGTGTGAATGAGAAATACATTTTCTTTTTGAAAGCCATGGATATTTGGAGGTCTTCTGTTATCACAGCATAACCTCACTGATCCTAACTGATACACACATTTTGATAGCATTGATATTAATTCTCTAGAAAGTTTATATCTTTTTGCTCTGGTTGACTATGTATAAGAACACACATTTCCTCATACCCTTAAGAACACTGGATATTAACCTGTCTCAACCTGAGAGGTGATAATGGGATTTCAATGTTGTATTAACTTGTATTTTTTAAAAATTCATACTGAGGTGCAGCATTTTTTTCATTTGGCATTTAATTTCTTCTTTTGTAAACTGACCATGTCCTTTGCCTATTTTCTATTGGTTTATAAAAACTATTTATTTATTAAGGATAGTGATCCTTTGCCTGCATGTATGTTATAAAATGTCCCCCAGTTTGTTTTTCCCCCCCAGTTTTCTTTGACTAATTCAGCTTGTTTACACTGTATTTTATGTATACAAGTTAAAACTTTTATGTAGTCAAGTTTATTGATCTTTATTATTTCTGCTCTAGCTGTTTTACCTACTCCTAGATTATAAAACTCTTCACCATTTTGGAATCCTTTTAAACCAGTACAGGATGTTCAGAAGCCTGTGAAAACTATATGCCTACATGGCCTTTCAGCGTATATCAACAAAACTATAATGATTTCCTTCTCTCTTGTAGGAAAAAATATTTTGTTTTTAAGGGGTCCCGTAAGGCCCCATCTGGATGGGTTAATGAGAGGAAACAAAAAATGACCTGGTCCTGCCTTCAAAGGAGGAGTTCAGAGAAACTCTACGTCAACTTTGCCCAGAGGAAAATACCATTCCTTGCAGAAACAGCACCCCTCCGCCTCTGGATCACTCATCTCTGCTTCTAAGGGTGATAATTAAGAATTGAGCCCTAGCTGGTTTGGTTCAGTGGACAGAGCATCGGCCTGCGGACTGAAGGGTCCTGGGTTCGATTCCGGTCAAGGGCACATGCCTGGGTTGCGGACTTGGTCCCCAGTGTGGGGCATGCAGGAGGCAGCTGATCAATGATTCTCTCTCATCATTGATGTTTCTCTCTCCCTCTCCCTTCCTCTCTGAAATCAATAAAAAAAATATATAAAAAAAGAATTGAATGACCAAGGGCAGGTCAATATGACAACTTGTTTATTGGTTTTTAATAATATAGTTTCCAGGGTACATGCCTGAATTTTTTTATTCCATTCATTTGTGATTGGGGCCTGAGAATCTGTATTTTTAATCTCTTTAGGATATTTGGCAGATGAGTTGGGTTTGGGGACATTTGCCCAGAGCGATCCATTCAGATTATGAAAAGAGTAACCAAAGTATACCCCACCAGCTCTCTGTCATGATTTTTCTTGCATGTGTAAGGGGGCATATTATTGTGTTCAAAGCTTTTTGTATGCCTACATTGATATTCTGATAAATTATTAAATGAAAATGTCTCTTCTATCTGGTTCCCCTTCCTCTGGTCCTTCTCAATCCCCTGGAATGTGTGAATTAGCTTTTGGAACCAAATGAGTTAGGTCAGAAGAGAATGCCAATTTACTTGAGCAGGCTTGTGTCACCAGAGCTCTGAAGAAAGGTGCTCTAGTGCAGCCGTGGGCAAACTACGGCCTGCGGGCCGGATCCGGCCCGTTTGAAATGAATAAAACTAAAAAAAAAAGAGAACGTACCCTTTTATGTAATGATGTTTACTTTGAGTTTATATTAGTTCACACAAACACTCCATCCATGCTTTTGTTCCGGCCCTCCGGTCCAGTTTAAGAACCCATTGTGGCCCTCGAGTCAAAAAGTTTGCCCACCCCTGCTCTAGTGTGTCAGCATTTCCCATCATTAAAGAACACCAGTGGTGAGCTTTAAGCTTAACTTAGCTGTGCAGAACTGAGGAAGACACCATTAACTACTGCTACTCTGGTTCAGAGTGTGAAGGAAAGTAGGCATACATGGATACCAGTTTTGCTGACTATGGTAATCCCTTTTGTTAACAATCATCAAACAACCTTCTCAAAGGCCAACAGTGGAGGAGGAGAGAGAGCCCTGCGCTTGCATTTATGAGTTTCTCTTCTGCAGAGCCGGGGCATAAAGAGGCCTCAGAGACTGGAGAGCAGAAGGGTGGGAGGTGGGGAAGTGGTGGGGAGGGGAGGGAGATCTGAAATCACACATTGCTCCAGGGAAAGCCATCTTTTCAAGCTGCTTGGCAATGGCCTAATTTCCATTCACATAGTTCCCCTGAGGGAAACAAACCAGTACTGAAAACCTGCCCAGATTGTTGTGCAGAGGCTCTCAGAACTCCTGCAGCCTCCTCAGGTAGGAACTGGCTTGAGGACGGCCTCAGCCAGACCTTCCCTGCTTGGCTGATGGGCAAGAGCATTAAGCAGGCCGTCTGACTGTGAAGACACACTTTTGGCTGGGGAGTACAGCACCAACCTGAAAGTACTGTGCTGAACATCCTGAAGCATGTATATTCTCTGCCCACAGAAAACAGTCCCTTTCCCTAAAAAATGGGGTCTGACTGAAGGTGTGGCCTGCAGGCAATTAGTCCAGGTGGTTTTTGATTCTCTTAATAAATGTCCCTTTTGTCTGGTAGAACATCTGTCTTGCTCCATGTCTCACTCATGGAGACATTTTACCACCAGCAGAGAATCCATGAATCTGGAGTTCATCTTTCTGGCTGTTCTCTCATTGCCTGACATCTCTGTGTTGCCATGGGAGGAGGAGGAAGTGAGTCAGGGAAGGGAAGCTGGAATTGGAATATCTTGGACGTAAGAGGTGGGGAATGTCATATGGGGAGGTGCATCTTGACTTCCAGATAAAAAACAGTCACTGTTCTAGAAATGTCTCCAGTGAAGCTGGGGGACTGGAAAAGGGAAGGGAGGGTGGATGATGCTCTGGGATCACAATCATTCTCAGGGAAAGTCAATGTGCTTGAAAACTGGGTTGGTCCATTGTCTCCAAATCTAATTCAAAGTTTTTGGGTTTGGTAAAAGTCAGGCCATGTTTTGCCAAACATTTTTTTTTTTGCCCTAATTTCAAAGCCCATGTGTATTTTAAGGGAAATTTAATCCACATGTTTCTGATTCATTTACACTTAACTCATCAAAATATTGTTTTGTAAGAGCCATTTGATGTCCAAGAAGCCTCAGGAACCTTTTTTATGAGTCTTCTGAAAAAAACAGGAAGTCATGTTTTGCCAATAATAAATGAACTTGAACCCCAAAAGGCTCAATTTTGCTTCAATATTCACCAGGTTCCAATGGTTCTGAACTTGGCTAAGGACCGCAGCTCCTCCCCAGAAACATACATTGTCTCAGCAGAATGGTTTCGAAAAAGGTTTCTCCCAGTCAACACATATTTGTTCTCTGAGCAAGAAGACCTAAGGTGAGAACTGCCATGCTGTCACTGTCCTGACTTGTTACCTCTAGAACAGAAAGCAGAAAAGCACCTTCTGGTGGTGGTATGAGCATCTAACTTTTGCTCCCGAACCTATCATAAAAGACAATGCTCTCCTAGGTCAGAAATGACCCACAATGCAAGGCTCTGCCATGGGAGATAGTGAGGCATCAAGTAGAGGTTGTATAATCATCAGAGAGAGTATAAAAGGAATGTCTGTGTTGTATAGGATCCTGGGCCAAAATATCTCTAAGGGTTCTTCTCAAATGTAAAACTGTTTCACTATTAATGGTGTTATTGGCATATAAGGGTAACGCATCATAACTGTGGAATTCAATATAAGTGCAAATTACTGGCAATATGCTTGGCACATAGCAAGTGTTCAATGCACACTGGTGTGCAGGAGTTGTGTCTATAGACACTTTCTTTGGGTTATTCTACTGGTAAGTTTACACTTTCTCACCAGTCCCTGATTTGACCAAGGATATATATTTTCAGACTACTGGCCAAGACTGAACAGTATGAAGCCAACATGCCCACTCTGGGACGTTTTTGTGACCTTAGCCTTGTTGGCCACAAATAAATTGAGTCAATAATGTTTCATGACTGTTGAAACATGTGTCAATTGAGTCATGACTGTTGTGGAGGATGAGGGGGTACAGACAGGGCACCTGGCTTCCTAGAGAGGGAGCAGAAACACTTCTTTGCTTGTGCCTACTTATGTGGGGTATCTGACACCCACTGACATGGAGGAGACCAGCATTCTTACCCAGTGCAGTGCATCCATTGAGCATTTTCTTTTCTAATGGGAACAAAAAGAACTTCACCCCAATTACTATCATTAGGGTCATGTGTGGAATGGATTAGTAAAGTCTTCCTTCCTTCCTTCCTTCCTTCCTTCCTTCCTTCCTTCCTTCCTTCCTTCCTTCCTTCCTTCCTTCCTTCTTTCCTTCTTCCCTCCCTCCCTCCCTCCCTCTCTCCCTCCCTCTCTTTCTTTCTATGTGGAGGAGGAACACTACTGATCAAAGCACAGTGGTACCATTTCCCCAGAGAGGTTCTGGAGTGACTCCCCATAGAAAGAAGAGGAGAGCTGGTGATGTAGAGACACTCACTATTGAATCTAGGTGATTTGAGTAATTTGCTGGAGTCCTCATGCTAGTGAATATATATAGAATTCTTAACCCTGCCACCACACCTTCTCCTTCTGGCTGATGTGGTGATATCAAAGTGGAAGGGAGCTAAAAGTCTAAGTCAGAAGTAATGCCTTAATGCCCTATTTCTGCATTCATTCATTCATTCATTCATTCATCAAATATTTACTGAGAACTTCTTTATGCCAGTCACTATATTAGACACCAAGAATACAAAAACAAATGAGACACTGGCCCTGAGTTCATGGTATACTCAGAACATTAGTGAAAACTTCCATGAAAACATAAGAGAACGTCAGGATGGACGCTTGGATGAGACAAGATGAGGAGCCCTCTGTGAAGACACTCAAGTCCTGTTAAACCCATGCTATTGACATTTTTCCCTGAGTCCTCAGACTTATAGTATAAAAGCCACAAACTGATGTGCTTCCCAAAAGAGACAAAAGGTGCCAAGAATAATTTTTCTCTGTTGAAGCTGGGGGTCCACTTTTGGGTGGTTACTCCAGGGCCAAGGTGGAGACAAGGAATACAATGTTTCCTTGTGTGATGATCAGATAACTTCAGGCCAAGGCCGTAAAGCAGTCACTCTCTGTCAGGTATTGGACTGAGCTTCCTGTTGAGCAAAAGGGATGTTGAAAACCTCTGGCCTCTGCCCAAACCAGTCTCCTCTCATCCACAATAGGGACTTGTATCTAAAGACAAGACAACTGGCCCCAGGCCCCCTATGCTCAGAGTGATTCTTTGAAAAATCTTATCATGATAAATTAATTGGCTTAGCTCTTCTCTCATCAGGAAGGAGAAGGAGCGTCTGTTGTAACCTGACCGCTGGGGCTCTTTGTGCTATCCACTGCCCACATCAGCCCCTGATGGGCTTGCTGGAATGAAAGTATGGCTGGAGACACTGTGCCCGGCCCCACTCTGTTTCTCTGCGTTAAGAGAAAGAATTCTCTTTTCCAGGTCTGCCTGCTCTGCTCCTTAAACCTGAAATGATGTAAGAAAGCCATTTATAGTCTGAAGGGTTTGCATTAGGCTCAGTTTTAAGTTTTTACCCTTATGATACTCATGTTTTAAAACATTTTATCTGCCAAACTTTACTTACTGATAATTACTTTTCCTGTTTGAAAGACAATTCTAATGACAGCCAGTGCTTCAGATAAAAAGGAGGAGGACAGCTACACATTACCTACTACGCTGAGTTGTTGGAGGAGCAGCCCCTAAATCAGATTTTGTTTAACTTCTTAACCCTTAAAAAAGCTGAAAAGATTTTGAAGGACTGAAAATGGCTCTGAAGCTGACATGACTACCTAGGGCACACCTTTCATCCTGGGGACCCCTGGTTTGGGATGCGCTGGTCTGGGCTGAGTTTTCAGCGGATAGCTCTCCAGCAGTATGTCTTAGAAATGTTGACTTACTGTCTCCAGCTCTGCTGGTGGATCGTAGGAACAGAGTTCATGTCTCTTGCTGTGGTTTAGCCAGAAGCATACAAAAAGGCCTCTTGGGTATTACATCAACTGGCACAGAGGAAAAGCTCAGTAAATATTTGTTGGATGAAGAAGTAAATGAATAAATGGCATGCATTTTTATGAATCTTTTATGAATAAATACTGTAAGTGTGAGAAAGGAGTTTACTTGCAGAAAAGCTATTTATCAGAGATCATTTGAAATACACAAAGAGCAGGTAGAATGTAATTCCAGAGGCAGTTTTCAGTGTCTTGAAGGGGTCCCAAATGGCATGGAATTCTAAGAGGGGCCCACAGCCTGAAGCCCCTAGGGTGGCTTCTTGTGCCATCGCTCTGAAGACTTACTTGTGGTGGTTTGTGCAGTGAGCATAAATCCTTAGTTTGTCCCGGATGACTCGGCCTGGCCGTGGCTTCCGCTGCAGCCCAGCCACGTGCACGGCCAAGACTTTGGGGCCGATCAAGCGCTTGTAGAGGAGAGAGAGCCAGTAATCCTGAGAAGAACAGAGACATGGAGAGTCAGGGGAAGATGCAGTTCAGGTGTTTTGAGTACACATAGACCAGACAGACCAGAAAGTACTTCTTAGCAGGAGTAAAGCCTGACCAAAGCAACTAACCCTGTAAGCATGGTCACCTGACAAAACGTTCACCCTGGGTTGGTAGTGAAGCCAGCATTGTCTAAACAAAGTGACCTTCACATTCCTAATGGAGGAATGTAAGTGTGTATGTGGAAGGCTGCCCCGATTGCCCGTCAGGAGCAGGGAAAGGTGGAGAAGCCCTCAAGGGAGATCGGGGCTGGCAGCCGCAGCTCACAACCGCTGACGGCGCCGAGTGATTGGGACCGGCACTGGGCTCCGGCAGTGGGTATGAGCGGTGGCTCTGGCACCAGCTGAGGGTGCGAGCAGGGCCAGCACCGGCAGTGGTGTGTGAACAACGGCTCCGGCACCAGCAGCGGGTGCGAACGGGGCTGGCACCTGCAGCAGGTGTGAGCGCCTAGCGGCGTGCGGGAGCAAATAATTTTCAGTAACCACCAGAGGCTAGCCCTGATGACAGTGACCGGCGCCCTGCCTTGGTCTGGTGCCCCCCTCACCTGCTCCACCATCCCGCTGTGGCCGATGCCCACCATGTTTCATGCTCTGCTACCTGCTGTCGACACCTGCCATGTTCTGCGTGCAGCCCCTGGTGGTCAGCGCACATTATAGCAACTGGTTGTTCGGTTGTTCCACTGTTTGGTCTATTTGCATATTAGGGATATATATATATATAGTTCTGCATCTGGATTTTCTATTTTCTTCCACTGAACCCTATTTCTTTATCAGTTTCACATCATTTTAATGATTAAAATTTACATTTTAATATCTACAGGTTTAAGTCCATTTCATTATAATTTTTCTTTCTTTGTTCAAATTTTCCTTAATTAGTCATATCCATTTACTTTCCCAAATAAACTCAAGTAACTTTTTATAGTGTTTGTGGTTCTAGAGAACCTTGAGGCATTAGTTTTATTCTATGTTTGGTTAGTCTGTTTATTTTCTATCTCATATGTTCTGCCAGGATGCTTATAGGAGTCACATTTTATCCTTGATATTTGAACTTTTACCAGGAATGTGTCAATGTGGGTTTCTGCATTAATTTTCTGGTATTTGGGAGTGCTTTTGATAAGAAAGACTAAGGACTTTCTCCAACCTGTGAGAATGTTCTTTAAATAAAGCCTTAATCTTATTTCTTTCTGTTTGCTCCAGTCTCTGTTTCAGGAGTCTGTTAGATTTCCATCCTCAGTTCTCCACAAGTATCATCTCTTTTCTGTTTTCTCTCTGCAAGAAGAAGTCTCAAGTTTGTCCTGCACATTATATATTTATTTTCTCCGGGATCTTTTCTGTCATTTATTACAGTTTTACTTCTCTTGTAATTTTTTCTTGTTTTATTTAGTTTACTTGATTGGAACTCATTTAATTTCCCCCCATTTTGTGTATACTATGTATATTTCTCATATACAGGAGGACATATGTACCTTACATGGAAGTTCTGAGGCATATGAGAACCTATCATCCACCTTAAAAGCTACAATAATACCCACACTGTTGCATCTAGTTATGTGATTCTTCTCTCTCCTATTTGTGTACTTTTCATTCCTTCAGCTAATGTTTGAATTTTGTCTTAAGCAATATATTATTTAGCTTGTTAGCTTTTAAAAACTGGCATCATGCGATATGTGATTTTCTATAACTTACTTTTTTACAATATGCTTCTAGGATTCATCCAGGTTGTTATACTACCACTGTTTATTCATTTTCAATGTTTCATACTTCATTGTGTGAACATACTATAATGCATTTATCCATTCTCCTGCTGATTGATATTTGGGTTGTGTCCAGAGTTTTGCTATCATGAACAATGTAGCCTTCAACATTCTTGCTCCTGTTTCCCAAGGTGCAGGTGAAGCAATATGGAGAAGCATTGCTCCAATCATGACTGGAAACCAGCAGCAGCCTCATCACTGTGTGCTTCGTAGAATTGCAGATTTACAGACTTTATCCAAGACCTATTGGATCAGAATCTTCAGAGGCGGGGCCTCCAGACTGTATAGCTCTCCAGGGAATTCTGCTGCTCATTAAAGTTAGAGAAGCCCCGTAGCACTGTTGAGAGCAATACCTAAGAGTGGAATTGCTGTGTCCTGCACAGATATAAAAATATTCAACTCTATAGGCTAATGCCACATTGTTTTCCAAAGCGATTCCAATTATTCCAACTTATACTTCCTTCAAGAAGTGTCTGAGTTCCTTTTGATTCACATTGTTGCCAACATCTGTTATTTTCATACTTCTTAATTTTTGCCAATCTAGTGGGCACATAACATCTAGCTCTTGTTGTTTGTTAAATAGTCCTTCCTCATGACTAGTTCATAAAGATATTTTATATTTTCTTTTAAAACTTTTAATGTTTTTTCATAGTTACATCTTTAATCAATCTAAAATTTATCTAGGTTCTGGTATAAGTATCTAATTTCATATTTTTCCATATGAATAGTAAGTTATGTCAGCATCATTTATTAAATGGGTCTCTCCTTTCCTGTGATCTGCAACGCTCTCTGTATCATACATCAAACTTCCATATACTCGTGGGTTTATTTCTGGGCTATCTATTCTGTCCTGTACCACTACTGCATTTAAAAAAAATAGGTAATTTTATTTCAGAGAGGAAGGGAGAGGGAGAGAGAGATAGAAACATCAATGATGAGAGAGAATCATTGATTGGCTGCCTTCTGCACACCCCACACTGGGGATCGAGCCCGCAACCCAGGCATGTGCCCTGACCAGGAATCGAACCGTGACCTCCTGGTTCATAGGTCATCCTCCCTCTCTTGCTGTCCTTATCTCTCCCTCATGTAAACCAACTCTTAGCTGACTCAGATTGTATTTCCTTACTTCTTTCCTTCCTCCCTCCCTTCCTTTTTCCCTGCTTCTGCCCCCCTCTCTCTCCTTTCTCACTCTTTCTTTTATTTTACTATGAATATGTGCCTATATAATCATAAATAAAATTAAATAATATGATCTCTAAATATCTCTTAAGGAAATGACACGAAAAAGCAGAAAAATTGTCTTTATGCATAGAACAGATAGAAAAGAAAAAAAAAGAATGCACACACATCTCAAACAACAACAAAAAGGTTATTGTATAAAAGATGGAATATAATGAGAAGTTTTCAGATAATAAGAGTCCTCAAGAAGGAAAGCAAATATAATGGCTTTTTATGTCAATAAAAAAATCCACAGCAAGGAATGCATTGCAATTTTCAAGGGACAAAGAGAGACACAAACAGACATTCTTTAAATGTATCAGACATGAGAAGAGATTGAAGAAAAATAGTGCCCATTTATTAGTTGGAGAGGGAAAACTAATAGAAGATGACACTGAAATGACAGAGGTTTTAAATCTTTTCTTTGTCTTGAGTATTTGTCAAAAAGTCAATTGTCTGAAAGCTAGACAAAGCAATATATGGAGGAGTAAGTTGAACCAAAATAAATGGGAAAAGAGAAAGAAACTGACAGAGGGTTGCAGAATTTACTGGATTAATCGCTGAATCATGTACTCCTCGAGGTCTAAGATTATTTACCCATTCCTACAGCCCATGCCTAGCAGAGTGCCTGGCCTATCTATAGGCGGTGCTAGAATTCAATTATGGAATGCAGACAATATTTAAGGTTCTATCTAGGCAGTAGGGTTACAGTGGTGAATAAGGCACATAATTTCTTGCCATCATGAAGTTTATAATCTAGCGAGAAAGTCCTTAAGCCAATGAGTTAGGTGATTAATTAATTTTAATAGTACTAATGACAATTGAGGAATCTATGATACCTTATAATAGAAGATGTGACCCAGTCTGGGGATAGGGACAGCCAGGGAATGAGTTTCATGGAGTGACATTTAAGATTTGAGAAAAAGAGAGGAGGGGATAGAGAGAGTCTTGGGCAAGAGAAAGAGCTTATGTAAAGGGCTGACCTGGGGAAGAATTGGAATGTTTGAGAATCTGAAAGCAGACTAATTCAGCTTGGAGCTCAGCAAGTGAATACAGATGAGGATCGTAGGTCCAGGTTGATATAGACCTCAGGATTTTAGAACCACTGCAGAATTTTAAGAGATAAAGTGATATTATTCAATTTACATTTAGCAAGTTGACTTTCACAGCTGTGCAGAAAATGGATTGAAGAAAACCATTTAGGTTAGTTGGAAGAAAGATAATGGTAATCTGATCAAGGTGAGGAAATTAAATTAGAGATAACATGAGGGAGTTGAGAATATTTAGGAGATAAAATTGATTGGAATTGATGATTGATTGGATATAGAGAAAGAGTATTAAACAGGATTCACAGCTTTTTAAATGCTCAAATCCTTAATTCCAGAGGGTGGGATGGCTCCTGGCAGCACAGCAACAAGAGATGTATTTCCCTTCCGTCCTCAACACCACCTCCTCCCAACCCAATCCCAGCCCACAAAATCTTGGTGAGATTAAGTTCTGCCAGGGATAAGTGAGATAAATAAAGAATATACCTGAAAGAAAACAGTCAAACAGTGTAATAGTAATATCTAACAAATGTGCACTGGCTAAATCTTTCCTAATGTGTCCCAGAACTTTAGTTCTGAAGTATTGTTTTATCATTTTTAGTACATATGAATCCAGTGCATATTTTTGAAATGTTTTGTCTTTATCCACTTACTTCACTCATTATTTCTCACACTCTCTATTTCTACTAATCTAGAGCTGGGCAAGGGGGCCCTTGCATTAGAGAGCCAAGCTCTGGCCCATCTTCAGCTGCCCCCCTCTCCCTGGGGTAAGAACTTCAGAGAGCCAAGGACCCTTGCCTCTTTGTAGACCATGTTCTGAATCCCCATGATCCCAGAATTCTCTGCTCAGATAGGCCCTCACGTGTTGTCAGGGCTTGTGTGGACATCAACCTGGAGTCTGACTTCCTGAGAGTGGACCATAGCGCTGGAG